TGAGTACGCGTACCCGAGCCACGTCATGCCGACGCCGCCGATCGGAACCAGCATCGCGCCGTATGGCACGAGCCTATTGACGAGACGGCATCGTGAATTCAGAGCATCGCGTGTTCCGCACAGCCTCGGAGTACGCGGGTCTGTGTGTTTCGCTTCTAGGGGGCACGAGCTTGAACACGAGCACGGCCAGGAAGGCGCCGGCGAACTCGACGAGGCCGCCTGTACAGGTTCCAGGAGCAGGTCACAGAAAGGCTCCAAGGAGGTGCCGGTGTGCCGGTCTTGACGAGGTCTCGCCGACAAAGTTCGCGGCGCAGGCCACCGACCACGCCCTCTTCATCGCGGCCTCGGTGTCGAGTCCCTCGGCGCTTGCGAGCGCGAGGGCGGGGGCGAGCACGCCGAAGGTCTTGGCGATGGCGCCGGGCGTGTTGACGCCGTACGGCTGTGCGCACGTGTCCATCTTTCCTCTGCGGGACGCGCGAGCACCAGTGTTTGGACGGGGGGGCGGGGGCGGGGCGGGGGCGGAGGCGGAGGCGGAGCTCACGTCTCCATCGCAACCTTTGACGCCTGCAAGGCGTAGTAGACGTTTCCGACGAAGAGCGAGACGGTGAGGCCGCCCATGAAGTGCTTGTACACAAACTCGGGCGTGAAGCCAACGACGTACGCGTTGGACATCTGTTGGGTGCGGGCGGCGGGAGGGAAGTTTGGGGACAGCGCAGCGGGGCCTAGAAGATAGCACGCCCCCCGTGCCGCTCTTCCGCACCATGCCGAGCTGCGTGACGAGGCTGTCAAAGAAGAGCGTGAAGAACGCGTTGGTGTCACCCTTGCGCGTCCATATCGGATAGCCCTTCGCCTGCAAGCGCAGAGAGTGAGCTGTCGGAGAGGCCTCTGGAGGTGGGGGCACGACGGCGAGGGCGGCGGCGAGTGCGGCGAGGTGGCGCACGCAGTCAGGGTGGAGGGGTGGAGTGGGTGGCAGGGTGGCTTCTTTGGTGGGCGCACAATGATGTTCTTCGGCTTGAAAGTATTGATGAACTCGTTGGGCAGCTTAGGCAAGTCGTCGAGATCGATGATGTCGCTCAAGGAGTATCCGACCTGCACAGCGGCGCGGGTGGTGAGCGGCACGACGGGTGGCGGAGGCGAGGGAGGCAGGGTGGGCTCTCCTTCGACATCGCGACAGATACCAGCAGGCAAGATGGCGGCGGGTCTTTGGAGGGGGAACAGGAAGTCGGAGGTTTTTTGTTTTATGGTATTTTCGGAGGCTTTGCAAACGAGGTCTGCAGCACCCTGAGCGAGGCGGCGGCGCTCCTGTCGTGCTCGCGGCGTGCCCCTGGCGCCGGCCCGCCGGCTGCGCGAGAGAGAGATTTAGAGGTTTTTTGTGTTTTTTTGTTTTGAGATTTTTGAAAACCATCTCCGCTGAACATGTTGTGCGAGGCGTGAACCGCGCCATTAGCTCTCACCTGGCAACCCTGTCTGCACGTCTCGCGCGCGCGTGAACAGGGCTCCAGGCCCCAAATTACGTGTGAGTGTTAGAGTTGTTTGGTATTGCTAAAAATCTCTCTCTCTGAACAAAGGCTCCAGCCAGGCCCCAAATGACGTGTGAGTGTTAGAGTTGTTTGGTATTGCTAAAAATCTCTCTCTCTCCGCTGCGCGTCGGAGAACAGATTTTGAAAACCAACAAGAAAAATCACGACTCTTCTTGCGCGTCGGTCGAATCTCGTCGAGAGCTGTTTGAGAGAGGGGGTGTGTTTTGTTTGCTGTTTGTTGTGCTGTCTGCCTGACTCAGGCACTAATTCTGCCGATGCGTGATTGTGTGTGGGCTGCTCCGAGGGGGCCCTGTGCGATCCGATGGGTAGGGAGTCTGTGCCCGGGCGGTGTCCGGTGTGGAGTCTCTCTCTGATCCCGCCTGTGGTGTTGGGTGTGAGGTCGTGGAAGCTTCGATCCCAAGGGGGGGAGCCGAGCCCACTCATAACCAACTCTCAGGGGCAGTAGGTGGGCGAGCCTCGAGCGCGCTCATCTCGATCGTCAAGGCGTCGCTACGCGCGGTCTTCCGCGGGGCCGCGGGGGGAGCTTCGTCGACGGGTGCGGGAGCGCGGCGCAGTCAGTGCCGTGGCGATGCCTCCGGCTGTTTGCGGCGGGCGGCTTGCTGCTCGCGGCGATGGCGAAAAACTCGTCTCGCCGCACACCAAGGGCTTATGCTCTTGCTAGAGATGCCTTTCGGGGCCCAGAGATAAAAGACTAAACTTCTGATGCCATGCGTGACCTAGTAAGTAGTGTCCCCAGCTATGGGCGTGTCCACGTTGGAGCCAGGTGTGGTATGGGCGCGAGAATAGCTCCGCCGTTCATGGAGCGAACCGATACGAGTCGACTGGTGTGTGTCGTCGTGGTTTCGTATCAAGAATACTCACTCACTCACGACACTGCCTTGGCCGCGTGCACCTCGATCCGCTACCGTGTTTGTTATGACCTCCCCCCAAAAAAGAAAGAAAACAGACAACCCAAGGGAGGGATGGGAGGACGGCACGCCGCCACCACACAGGGATTTTAAGGAGAGGTGTGTGGTGCGCTATCCGTCGCCCACCCTAGGGAGTCTGCCTCTTATCTCTTTTCGCAGTCTCTCGCCGCTTCTCGCTGCAACCTTCATGCCACCTCGCGGCCGTCCCACTCTCGTCGTTCTCTCCCTTGTCACTTCCTCCTCTGTCGCGTCATTCTCTGACCTCCCCCAATGAACACATTTTCACCCGTAGAATTCTTTCACCTCCTGTGCAGGCGCTCCACACTCCGAGCAAGCAACGCGGCAGCGTTCGCGATGGAGGGGGGAGCTCCCCCGCCGCCTCGCGACCGAAGCTACGACGACCGCGGCGGCGACCGCGGCGGCGACCGCGGCGGCGACCGCGGCGGCGGAGACCGCAGAGACGATCGCGACAGAGACCGCGGGTACGACCGGCGCGACTTTGACGACCGCGGCTACGGCGGGCGCGATCGCTACGACGACCGCGAGAGATCGTCGCGCGACTACGCGAGGGACCGGGACCGCGGGTACGGCGACCGGGATCGCGGCTACGGCGACCGCGACCGCGGCCGGGGCCGCGACTACGGTGGCGGCGCCGCCGAGGGTCGGGGCGACTTTCGCGAGGGCAGCGGCGGCGGCGGCGGCGGCGAGCGGGACCGGGACCGGGACCGGCGGTACGACGACGGCTCGCCGTCGCGCGAGCGGCCTCGCGCCAAGAAGAAGCGCGGCTGGGACGACATGGGGGACAACCCGCAGGAGGCGGCGGCGATGCTGCTGCAGCAGCAGCAGCAGTTTGCCTCTATGGCGACGATGCCGCACAACGCCGTCGGGGGGTCGAAGAAGCAACGCGAGCTGTACATTGGCAATCTGCCGCCGACGGCGCGCGCGGCCGGCGTCGCGCGGGCTCTGTCGGGCTGCGGTCCGTCAGGGGCGGAGGGGGGCGAGACGTAGGCGAACGAGGGGATGATCAAGGAGCTCTTCTGCAACCTGGTCGCCGCGTGCGAAGGAGCTGGGGCGAGGGGAGGGCGGGTGCGGCGAGGGGCGGCCCGTTCACGGGTCGAGGTGTGAGCAGGCTTCGTCCCGATGGGAGGCCCCCCCGTCCTCAACGCGCAGATCGCAGGCGGCCGTCGCTGCGCTCTGCTCGGCGGGTGCACACATACGCGCACGCGCGCGCGGCGCTGAGCGGCGGGCGGGTCCGGTGGCGCTGTAGGCGGCGGTCAGTTTGCGTTTGTGGAGTTCCGCGACGAGCAGCTCTGCGAGACGGCGATGCAGTTCAACGGCATCGACCTGCAGGGCAGGCGAGGGGCTGCTGCCCCTCGCCCGTCCCGAAGGCAAACTGACTGCAGTTTACAGCGCCACCGGAAGCGCCCGTTGC